GCCCGCCTTCCTAATTGTCATTCACCCCCTCCCCACCCACCTCGCGCCGCAGCTGGAGATAACAGATGGGCTTGGGGCGCGCGCCTGCCTGCCACCTTGTACCGATTCTACCATCGAAATACACCAATAATAAAATAATAATAAAATAATAATAACGCGTGTGCTTCGCTCAAGACTCGGTAGTGTTGGCACTCTTAACCGAACCCAAGTAGAAACCGTCGAAGACTACACTCCTTAAAACGCCTAACATTTTAATAAGAACATCAAAAACTTACAAAAAAACACGCGCTAAGGGGATGTCGCATCTAATCTTGGCGAGAGGCGGTTATTTATATCTAGGAGAATTAACAAACGACTTTAAAGCTGGGCTGCTAAACTGACATTTCCCCGACATTCCTCTTGTTTTTAATCGCCTCAAATCTAATCAAATATTGCAACAAAAATAAATGCAAAAGGGGTTCCTGGCAGAGTTCCAGCGTTACAGTATACACACATTTCTTTCTTAAATCGGCAGCCAGTAAGTGAGTCAGTAATTTGTCAGGGCTGTGAGAAACGTTCCCCAGGTGATCAATTATCTCAGATCACCTATTTCGCGCAGTTTCAGTAGCGACTACCACAACACTTCACTTTGCACGACTCTCCTGAAGGTCTCGTTATAACTCCTATAATTAAACCCCACACCCCTCCCCCCTTCGAAAGGTGCGAATCTGTTTTAGAAGGATTAAGGCGTTCTAATTAAATACCTTCAAACTTAACAGGTCTAAACTACCGTGAAGGAAGATGGGGGTGTTGGGGAATCAGGCTGAAGAGAATCGTCCCCACGCCAGGGCAGGCTGGAGGGGACACTGCCTGGATGAGCCGGGGAGATGGGAGATGGGAGATGGGAGATGGGAGATGGGAGATGGGAGATGGGAGATGGGAGATGGGAGATGGGAGATGGGAGAGCAGCACAGGCCCAGAGCAGGAGCTTCAGCCCGACGCCCAGCTGACCGATTCCAGAGAACTGGGGGAGAGGAGAGGGTGTGGGAGAGGAAGAGGAAGAGGGGGGAGTGTAAGGCAGGAGTGAGAGGAAGATGAAGAGGGTGGAGTGTGAGAGGCAGGAGTGAGAGGTAGAGGGGGGTGTGGGTGTGCGATACTCCATGAAGACTGACTGATTTCACATGAACAACAAAGAGACAGGATTTGGTGAGAAACGGACCGAGGGAGGCAGAGGAAGGAGAGAG